TCGAGTAGGCAGTATCAGTAGTAGTAGTAATAGCAGTATCAGTGTATAGCAGTATCAGTAGTAGTAATAGCAGTATCGGTAATAGTAATAGTATCAGTAGTAGTAGTAATAGCAGTATCAGCAGTAGTGATAGCAGTATCAGTAGTAGTAGTAATAGCAGTATCAGTAGTAGTAGTAATAGCAGTATCAGTAGTAGTAGTAATAGCAGTATCAGTAGTAGTAGTAATAGCAGTATCAGTAGTAGTAGTAACAGCAGTAGCAATAGTATTAGTGAGCCCTGGGTCACAGACAACACTAGCCACATCTCTCAGCTGACCACACACTAACACACTAGCCACATCTCTCAGCTGACCACACACTAACACACTAGCCACATCTCTCAGCTGACCACACACTAACACACTAGCCACATCTCTCAGCTGACCACACACTAACACACTAGCCACATATCTCAGCTGACCACACACTAACACACTAGCCACACTCTCAGCTGACCACACACTAACACACTAGCCACATCTCTCAGCTGACCACACACTAACACACTAGCCACATCTCTCAGCTGACCACACACTAACACACTAGCCACATCTCTCAGCTGACCACACACTAACACACTAGCCACATCTCTCAGCTGACCACACACTAACACACTAGCCACATCTCTCAGCTGACCACACACTAACACACTAGCCACATCTCTCAGCTGACCACACACTAACACACTAGCCACATCTCTCAGCTGACCACACACTGACACACTAGCCACATCTCTCAGCTGACCACACACTAACACACTAGCCACATCTCTCAGCTGACCACACACTAACACACTAGCCACATCTCTCAGCTGACCACACACTAACACACTAGCCACATCTCTCAGCTGACCACACACTAAACACACTAGCCACATCTCTCAGCTGACCACACACTAACACACTAGCCACATCTCTCAGCTGACCACACACTAACACACTAGCCACATCTCTCAGCTGACCACACACTAACACACTAGCCACATCTCTCAGCTGACCACACACTAACACACTAGCCACATCTCTCAGCTGACCACACACTAACACACTAGCCACATCTCTCAGCTGACCACACACTAACACACTAGCCACATCTCTCAGCTGACCACACACTAACACACTAGCCACATCTCTCAGCTGACAACACACTAACATAACATATCCACCAAAGGTGTCACAGGGAACCCACAACTTTACACCCAACGTGAACCCCGACGCAGTGCTCTTTCTTAAACCCACTTACCAACAGTCCAGCACAGCCCCAAACGTTGTTGAACGGTTCGTTACCAAACTGTGCGTTACTTGTGACTTAAGCATGTCTATACTACTCTGAAAACCTACCCAGAACCCACACTCTAAATTACCCTGCTAGGAAGGTTCCATAGGTGCCTGATCGGCCAGGTTATGGCACTGTAGGGCTATGGGCTGCTAGAAGCAAGAGGCTGGTTAACTAGGCTGTCAACAAGGGGAGTCCTAGATACAGGTCAGCCTGCTGGTGATAGCCTTACAGGTCAGAGGTATATACTGGATTTTCCTGCTGCTGCTGTTGCTGCTGCTACTGTTTTATCAACACTCTTACCTTCCTCTCGGCAACACAAGACGGAACTCAACATAGCAGACAGATCTTTGAGGAAGTATACCTGGGATCACTACCGTCCCAGAAGATCCCAGAAAGAACACTAGTGAGCAATAAAACACGAAATGCGTTCAAGAAAATGAAGATTTTGAATACGGAACGTACAAACCTTGTCCAGCCTCGTTCCCGGAGTCACATTATCTGAAAATTAATATATTCCTACCCTGTATATACATCTATATAAAGAAATCACACGCATACCATTCAGTTTTGAGTGTGACACCAGTGTGTGTGTGTGTGTGTGTGTGTGTGTGTGTGTGTGTGTGTGGGGTTAGGTGTGTGTGGGGGTGAGTGTGTGGATGGGTGTGTGTGATGGAGAGGTCTTGCAGTGCGTGGTACAAGTACCACTGAGATACCACCAGCTGTGTTCACATAGTTTAAATCATGTGAACCCAGGATGGTACTCGCGGTACCCGCCCGTCTTCAGTAGCGACAGTAACACGTGTCCCTTCCCTGGCTGTCAACCTCCTCCTCCTCTTGGTCGTTTCTTGGCTGCTTCCTTGCCTCTGCTGGTCGCTTCCTAATTACCTCTACGACAAACTCACTTCGTAAAACAATAACTACCTTCCCGTCAGGGAGTCGAAACTGCAATCCTCTACCGAGTATATTTACCATAAATAACCTCCGTTCTCTGAGCTACTAACGTACGAACGTTGCTCGAGTTCCTTACAACATTACTAACTTGAGATTACAGCTATCTCTGTAATCTTAAGGGCCTTTATATTAAGAAAATGATGTCATCTTCTATGATATCGTTATATCCTTTGAATACTGATGGCTGCTATCTTGGATATCTGGGTCATATCTTGCAGGGCTGTAGCACTGAACATTGACAGATGATGCAAGACAGCTACGCAACGACCTAGTGTACAGGTCCTTGTGAGAAGATTTACAAGCAATAATCAGTGACCTGTCTAGAACAATGTCCATCAGGTTTATCATTATAACCTTATGGTAACCTGAGAATGATCATTACCGCTTACAGTACATACATAATATCGAATAAGGAACGTGAAGATGTAACGATATACACTGATACTTGTTACAGTTGTTCGTTACTTGGCGTTACGTAACTTACTAGTAACCTAAGCGAGTGTACAGCCTAGTGACCTCAATCTAGGAAGCAGCCTAGTATGTTAGAGGTTTTCTGTACGTAAGATGGCTTCTGTCTAGACGTGGTCAGAGAATACTGCCTGAAGCCAGACTATGTTCACTCTGTGCCCCTCTCTCGACACCTGTACCTATCCTACACACCTGCATGTGGACCAGGTGTCCACACACACACCTCCTACACACCTGCATGTACACACACACCCAGCATATTAGTACAATACTGAACACTAAAAAACAATTGATATCTTGCACCTACCATTTTAAAAGGCCTTCAGCGTACTTACCATAAAAGGCCTTCATTGTACTTACCATAAAAGGCCTTCAGTGTACTTACCATAAAAGGCCTTCAGTGTACTTACCATAAAAGGCCTTCAGTGTACTTACCATAAAAGGCCTTCAGTGTACTTACCATAAAAGGCCTTCAGTGTACTTACCATAAAAGGCCTTCAGTGTACTTATCATAAAAGGCCTTCAGTATACTTACTATTACATATACACAAAATCACACTAAGTACTGTCTAAATAATTATTTACAAGAGTAATTCAGAAGGTAATCACAAAAAGTAAGTAAACACGAGGCAGGTGTGAACTTGAGAGCCTATGGTACGGTTGTCGACACCTGTAACACACCTGCCACACATCTGTAACATAATTCAATGATGGGTCCTTTTGTAGGTTATTCAAGGCGCCGTCTCTCCTTGTGGTATCTCACTCTAACCTGCCTTCTTTCATTCCTGTTCCGTCCGTCTCTACCTGCTGCTCCCTCACCCTACACCACAGTCCTTCACTACACACCCTGGCTAACCTACTTCTACAGGTATTCACAGCCTGTTCCCTCACCCCACACTACGTTCCTTCACCCCACACCCTGGCTAACCTACTTCCACAGGTACTCACAGCCTGCTACCTCACTCTACACCACGGTCCTTCACCCCACACCCTGGCTAACCTACTTCCACAGGTACTCACAGCCTGCTCCCTCACCCTACATCACGTTCCTTCACTACACACCCTGGCTAACCTACTTCTACAGGTATTCACAGCCTGTTCCCTCACCCCACACTACGTTCCTTCACTCCACACCCTGGCTAACCTACTTCCACAGGTATTCACAGCCTGCTCCCTCACCCCACACTACGTTCCTTCAATCCACACCCTGGCTAACCTACTTCCACAGGTACTCACAGCCTGCTACCTCACTCTACACCACGGTCCTTCACCCCACACCCTGGCTAACCTACTTCCACAGGTACTCACAGCCTGCTCCCTCACTCTACACCACGGTCCTTCACCCCACACCCTGGCTAACCTACTTCCACAGGTACTCACAGCCTGCTACCTCACTCTACACCACGGTCCTTCACCCCACACCTGGCTAACCTACTTCCACAGGTACTCACAGCCTGCTACCTCACTCTACACCACGGTCCTTCACCCCACACCCTGGCTAACCTACTTCCACAGTACTCACAGCCTGCTACCTCACT